ACTTTTTCTTACTAAAATTAAGGTTGTATAAAGCAATCAAATAATTTTTTATAATCTCCATTATTAAATTTTTTTTCTTTATCAATTACTAAAAAATTGTATCTATCTTGCCAACATAAATGACACATTTTTTTAAATTCTTCAAAAGTCAGATCTGAACTAACATTGTCTTTATAAATATGAAGTAAATTTAAGTCATCTTGTTTAAACAATATTAAGAAATTTGCATTGTCTCTAATTAGTTGTTTCGGAATTTTGGTATAAGTCTGACACAAATAGAAACAGTCAATATTTTTATGTCTGTCCATACTAAAATATTCTCTCATAACATTTTGTATATCACAAGCTACATCATCAAATATTATTATAGAATTAGGTTTAACTTTTGAAGAAGAGGGAATATTATTTTCTAGATCATTAAATGTAAAATAGCTCATTCCTTGTATGGGTTTTAATAACGTTTCCAAATACTGATATTTTGGTTGAAATAACGATTTTGAAAATATATATACATTTTCAAATCGAAACCCATTAGGATGCTCAATTAAACTTATCATTGTATTGGTTTTACCACAGTTTGATGGTCCTACAATAAGACAACGTATAGTTGACGGAAAAAGTTCTCCCTGTTTTTGTTAATAGTTTTAAAATCATTGTTTGACACTTGTAGCGTTATTGGTTGTTGAACAATTCGCATTTTGTATAAAACTAATAAAGAAAACTTCTTTGAACTATAAATATTCTAATTACAACTAGTTATTTTTTAGTTGAGTTTTGTTTGTTAAAACCTAAGTTTAATAGGAGTCTATATATAGTGCAGTAAAAATGCAAAATCTTAGTAGTCAAGTAAGCTCAGTTAAAAAGAGATATACTCGCCGAGGTGTTCTAAATTCGGTGATAAACAAGCTACCCATTGAACTTCATATTCCTGGTTATAATTATTGTGGTCCAGGAACAAAATTAACAAAACGGCTTGCAAGAGGAGATCAAGGAGTTAATGCTTTAGACGAAGCCTGCAAAGAGCACGACATCGCTTACAATAATAGTTTAGATTTACATAATCGATATAAAGCAGACCGTCTTTTATTAGAGAAAGCGAAGCCTAGATTACATTCTTCCAATTCTTCTTTGGGAGAAAAAACTGCAGCTTTGGGTGTTGCATCTGCAATGAAAGCTAAGTTAACACTTGGAATGGGTTGTTTATCAATAAAAAATTATCAGCGCCCAAAAACGAAATTTAAAAAAAGTAGACAAGGTTTAGGTTTCAATGATTTAAAAAAAATTGCAAAAACTGCAATTAAAAAAAAATATCGATGTCATAAAAGCCGCAGTAAAAGCCGTAAAATCTGCAAAACATAAAACTCCAATTAAACATACACGCATAATTTCTGTACCCAAAACTGGAGGATTTTTGTCACTTATTCTCCAATTTTTACGGCATTGGGTGCTTTAGGATCATTAAGTGGTGGTGCCGCTGCGATTGCGAAAGCAGTAAATGAAGCTAAAGAACAACTTAAAGAAACCCAAAGACATAATCAAAGTATGGAAGCAATTGCATTAAATAAATCGGGAAAAGGTTTGTTTCTGAAACCCTATAAAAAAGGAAACGGTCTTTTTTTAGGACCATGGAAATCACCGAAAACATTCTTATAGAGCTTCCAAAACGCGCTCTAACTAACGTTGATTTGAAAAAATTTACACAACTAATAAGAATTAAAAATTTTAGAGGAGTATTTATGAAAGATTCATTGCCTAAGTCAGGTCCAAATGTCAACGAGACGGGTATCATAAATTTAGATGATGAGAGAGGTGAAGGAACTCATTGGACTACTTATAAAAAAAACTAATAATAAAGCCCTTTATTTTGATAGTTTTGGTAACTTACCACCACCGATAAAATTAGTTAAATATTTAAACAAAAAAAATAAGTGTGAAATAGTATACAATCATGAAAGATTACAACAGTTTAATACAGTAATTTGTGGACACTTATGTTTAAAATTTTTGTACAACTATAATATTTAGTGACATATGTGGATCGTTTTCAGTTTATCATAGTTCTTTATATGTGTTTGTATCATGTCTGTTACAATTTACTTTAACAGGAACTAGTTCAGTACTTTCAAGTAAATATTATCCGCCTTTGATATTAGATACCAGTGAATATGTTTTAGGTTTAATAAATCTAGAAACATTTAATTTAATAGAAAACGTTACCAATTCAAATAATAAATTTTATTTTACTTTACAAAATCAAACAAAAGGTTTTATTACAATTCCTGAAGGCTCTTATGAAATTGATGAGCTCAATGCTTTTTTAAATAAAGAACTTGTAACATATGTTAAACAAGAATCATTAAAAACCAAACACTATATGCAAAAACCTATTTTAATTATAGAAGGTAATAACAATACTTTAAAATGTGAAATTAAATGTAGTCTTGATATTGACTTTTCAAAGTGACTCTATTGGTGGTTTACTAGGTTTTAACAGTAATAGACTAAAAGCAAACAAAAAACATATATCGGATAATACTTGTAAAATATTCAAAGTAAATGCATTATGTGTTGAATGTAATATTGTATGTGGTGCGTTTCGTAATGGTCAAAAAGTACATGTTATTCATGAATTTTTTCCTTGTGTACCACCTGGCTACAAAATAATAGAAACACCTTCTAGTGTTGTTTATCTTCCAATTAACACTAAACAAATAGATGAGATAACAATTAAAATAACTGATCAAGATGGAAATATTGTCAGTTTTAGAGAAGAAGTGCTAACAGTAAGGTTGCATTTACGTAAAATAAAATAACGTTTCGGCAATGAGAATAGTGTTTAATGTTAATAATAGAATTGGTGCAGCTTATAATGATAATAATATAAATAAGTCAAAGACCAATAAAATTTGTAGTCGAGTAAAAAACGTGAAAGGGTTAACTACAGAAAACCGTTTGTTTTTAAAATCTTTAGGATTTCGAGTAAAAGTATAAATTTAATAGAATGAATTTTCAAATTCTTAATGTTCAAGAGCCACCATTATTTGATACAGCAATTGCTTATGCTGAAAAACGTATTCATTCACCTTATGCATCCAGTTCTTTCAACAATAATGATGAAATTAGAATTCCAATATAACAACAGGATATATACACTTTACCATGGTACAGTACATTACATGTTCAAGGAAAAGTAAAAGTGTATGGTAAAGACAATGGGAATTTTATTTTTATTTGATGAAATTCGGTATGAAATATCAGGAGATCCTGTAGATACTGTTAGAAATCCAGGAATTGTGTCTGTTTTAAAAGGCTATGCAACATACAACGAATCACAAAGTAAGGTTCTTCAAAATAGTGGTTTGTTTCCAAAAGAAAAATCTACAATTATTGATGTTACGACTGGCAGTTTTGATGTTATAATTCCACTTCATATGGTTTTGGGTTTGTGTGAAGTTTTAGTAAACGCTCGGCAAGAGTTAGTAATACGTCGCAGTAGTACTGATAATAATGCATTTTATCTTCAAAATGATCATGACAAGACAATAAATTTGTCTTTAGAAAAAATATCATGGAGGGTTCCTCATATTATAAAAGCAATAAAGGAACAATTAAGATTATTAGATGTTGTTAAAAGTGCAAGAATTGTACATTCCTTTTCGAAGTCGAGAATTACATGAATATCCAGTTTTACCCCAAATACATGGGCTATAAAATCTGCTATAGAAAAACCTCAATATATAATGTTCGCATTTCAAACATACAGAAAAAATCAATTAACAAAAAATTGTAGTCGCTTTGATTATTGTTATTTAAGAAATATAAAAGTTTTCCTTAATGATACTCATTATTTATATGACAATTTAAATATAAATTTCAGTAACAACCAGTATGCTCTCTTATATGAAATGTTTACTAATTTTCAAAATTCATTTCTTTTTAAAGAAAGTGAACCTATTCTTACTCCAAAGGAGTTTAAAAATATTGCACCAATTGTAGTGGTTGATTGCTCTAAACAAAACGAAGAATTAAAAAGAAGTGCAGTAGATATTAGAATTGAATTTGAAACAGGTGTAAATGTACCTGATCAAACAACTGCATTTTGTTTAATTTTGCATGATAGAATTGCTAAATATATACCAATTAAAAACATAATAAGTTTAGTTAGATAGGTTATGAGCATTTTTATTTGCTTGTATTATTATATAATTTATATTATATTTTAGTTTATTATTTATATGATTAGTACTAACCAAGGTATTTGTAGTATCTTAAGAATGTATGTATGGAAAGTAATAAATAAAACAAAATTAAAAGTAATAAAGTGTTTTTTTTATTGAATAGATAATAATGTCAACAGGCTTAAAGTTTCTTTATAATCCTGAAGCTTTGTTGATGGCCATCTTGTTGAATCTGGACCACAAGTCCAACCAAGCTTAGCTTCTGGATTGTTGTCTCCTTTGGATATATTTGCTTTTACCCATTGTAAAATTTCAGAGTGTTTAGCATTTTCTTCAGGCTTAAATCTATACAGAATATCTTTATGTAACTTCAGAGCTAGAACCGCTTTCTGAAGCTTTTTATAGTCGGCTAAGTATGAAACAAATTAATCAAAGCATGATACAACAGTTTTATGAAATTGCAAAATATTTAACAATGGAAATTCCTTTGTATAAATATTTTGCAAATTGTGGTTAGACAATAAATTTAAGAGATATGCGATACATTCTTTTGTAAACCATAAGCAGTTAACAAAGAATATATTTTCGAATAAGAAAGTACGCTTACATTTTCTTTCATCGATAAACGTGCGTACATACTTATCCAAATATTTTCTTTTCTGTAATAGTTTTACAAATATATCAACATTAATATTCTTGATGTAAACAGGCATCTTCATAAAAATTTCACTTGGAACAATAAAGTCTTCCCGGCTCATTAAAGTAAAAAGATTAAGTTTTGTTTGGTGACTGTCTTCATACAGGATCAGGTTATTCAAATGTTTTACGTAAATTTTCTGAAGAGCACCTTGGGCTTCGATTTTGATTTGTAACAAAAGCTCTATCTTGAAAACACTGGTTAGCACTGCAATAACAATAAAATAAAATTATTTGTGTTGTTGGTTCGTATAGCGCACCTTATTTTGTAGTTAATATCCTTTCCATTATTTGCTTACGTTGATACAAACTTTAGTTATTGTTATTGTTACTTTCTTCTACTTCTCTGTTAGATGTCGCTTGGTATATGTAGCCCCAAGGCTTAGTGTCAGTTGTATCAAAATTAACAGTACGTTTATCATCAAATGGACTTAAAACAATTTTTTTTCTGTTTTACAGATGAGACCTTGTGATTTTTAGATCTTATTGATTTTTGTACTTTTTCTAAAATTGTTTGATCAAATAAACAGTTTTTATAATCATTAAAAGTTATAGCTTTTATTGAGGATTTTGTAGATCATTTTGATTTTTTAACTAAATGCTCTTTTGATTTATTATCATCAACAGTGTAAGCATACATTTTTGATCTTAAACCAACAAATTCTAGCATAATTTTACCATTGTTTTCATCTTTCATAAGACCGGGTATTTTTTTGTTTCTTTGTATAATATTATAAACATTGTTAACATCATAATCTGAGGTATCAAAAAGGTGAAAATCATTTTTGATGTATCGATAACCGTCATCAACTTTAAATTCATAAATTAAACTGTCAGTATCGGTGTAAAGTAATTTTGCAGAGGTTTGAAAGGTTTTAATAATATAGTTATAATGAAAATGATATAAAAAGATTTTTGAAATATCCAAAATACTAAAACCAACATATATAGGTTTYTTCAAATAAACTTCTAATTTATTCATTTCAACAACAATATTTTCATCAAAAATAATCGAGCTATGAAAATTAGGTTTTGAAATTAATGCGCGCAATCCCCAGCGTCCACCATCCCATTTCGTTACCAATCGAATATCTCTATGTTTTCTAACATTCTCCATACATTTACCATAAATAGCATTAATCATTAATTTATAAAAATCTTTTTCAAAATCATTTTTAGCCTGTTGTCTAAGTTTAGTATTCAAGTCAATATATTGTTTAAGCCAAGGTGATTAAATTTTAAAACTTTGTGAACCTAAGTCAATTTCATTCCCAGTTCTAAGTACATT